GTTAGTGCAGTTGTACATCTCATTACAAAAAATATTCAAAGTCAAGTCATTTCGTTTTTCACGGTAATGTGGTTTTTCCTCTCATGACCAAGACATCAAAGAAAAAAATATCCCATTTGGGAGTTCCTGACTTAGATATTTATAAGTCCCATCAAAGCTATATGCTTTGATAATATTTTTGAACTTAATCCCTTTGTCAAAGGGTCTGCAGTCATATCTAAAGATGGCAAACAACTTACAGTTATTTCACTCTTTCCAATAATATCATAAATATAATGATAATCAATTTCAATGTGCTTACCCTTGGAACTATAAACTCCATTTCTTAATGATGAGATAGCAGCCAGATTACCACAAAAAAATTTAACAGGTCCGTCAGCTATATCCAGTGCGTTTAATCCAGACGACATAAGTTATAGCACTGCTACAAGTAATATACTCGGGTTCCATAGTATACCAAGCTACAAAACCTTGTTTCTTGCTAGACCAAGAAACACATCCACCTCCAAAGAGGAATACAAATCCTAACGTTGATTTTCTATCATCTGAGTCACCCACAAAGTCTGCATCAGAGTACCCAGTAACCTCTAAGCTTTTTTACGGCTTACCAATTAGTCATCCCAGGATTACTCTAAAATTTATTTATAAGACCATATGCATGATTCAAATCAGGTATTGTACACAACATGGCATAATTTATGCATCCTACAACTTGAGCATATGGAATTCTTTTCATTTCAGCTTTGTCACTATCATTTAATGGACACATTTTCTTTGACAATTTCAAGCTTTTACAAACGTGTATCTATGGGCTTGCAATTTTCCATCTTAAATCTCTTTAAAATACTTTCTAAATAATTTTCTTGAGATAAACATAGAAGTCTCAAACTTCTATCTCTTGTTCTTTTAATGCCCAATACATATGAGGCTTTTCCCATATCTTTCATCTCAAAATGGAAACTTAACAATGATTTGGTATGGTTAATATTGTCAATATCATTACCAGCTATCAAAATATCATCTACATATAATGACAATATAACAAAATTGCTCCCACTATTCCAGACATATACACACCATGGTCTAACCTATTGGCTACATAGCCAATTTCAGTGATTGCATTATGAAAAGTAATGTACCACTACCTAGAAGACTGTTTTAGATCAAATAAAGATTTCTTAAGTTTGTATACTTTGTTTTCTTGACCTTTAAATACATATCATTTTGGTTGTTTCATGTATATATCTTCTTTTAATTCTCGATTTAAGAAAGTTGTTTTGACATCCATCTGGAATAATTCTAAATCATAAAATGCAACTAATGTTAAGATGATCCTAATAGATGAAAATTTGGCTACTGGCGAATAAGTTTCTACATAATCTATGCCCTCCCTTTGGGTAAATCCTTTAGCTACCAACCTAGCTTTATATTTATTAATGGATCCATTTGTATTAAGCTTTTTCTTTAGGACCCATTTGCAACCAATAGTTTTTCTATCTTTAAGGAGGTCTACCAACTCCCAAACTTGATTTTTTTTAATAGAATCAAGTTCATCATCCATGGCTTGAGTCCACTCAGCTGAGTCATGTGAGCTAATAGCTTCACTGTAGCTTTGAGGTTCATATATTGAATCCTCGCTCATTGAAGAAAAATTATCTTCATTCATAAATACATAAAATTCTTCTAAAGTCATAGGTGGGCTCTAGTTCTTTTAGGCCTATCTGATATACTTGATTCTTGATTCAATTGAATCATTCTCACCAATTGTAGAGGGAGACTGTGAAATAAGGTCTTGGAGACCCTTATCTTTATCAATTCCAGGTAAGTCAATAGGCTTACTTAAAATATTTTCATAATCTATATTTTCTAAAAAATGTGCATCACGGCTCTCTATTAATGATCTAGTACCATGATTATAGAATCTATACCCTTAGAATTTTTTGAATAACCTATAAAAGAGCATTTTATAGTTTTACTTTGTAATATATCTCTATTTTGTGGTGGTATAAGCACATGCGTCCAAGAACCCCAAACTTTCAAGATAGTAAGGTCAAGTTTCCTGCCTGTCCATAATTCATATGGGGTCAGGTCTATAAATTTAGTTGGAACACGATTAATAATATACATTGCAGTGTTGAGAGCCTCAACCAAAAAACGAGGTGATAAATTTGAATGGCTCATCATAGACCTAACCATGTCCATTAGAGTTTTATTTCTCATTTCAGCTACACCATTTTGTTGTGTTTTATATGGCATGGTTATTTGGTGAATTATACCATGCTCCTTACAAAATTCGGTAAATAAAGTGAAGCAGTATTCACCTCCCCTATCTATTCAAAGAATTTTAATGTCTACCTAACTGATTTTCTACTTCAGCTTTATATTATTTAAATGTTTCTAAAGCATCTGATTTTTTACTAATTAGGTATGCATATCCATAACGTGAATAATCATCTATAAATGTTATGAAATATTTCATACATTTGTGTGCTTTTACATTTAATGGGCCACATATATCAAAGTGAACAATACTTAGTAGTTCACTAGACCTTTTCCCTTTAGGGAAAGACTTCTTAGTTAATTTACCAGAAATACATGGCTCACATGTTTTGAACACAATTTCTCCTAAACTAGGGAGCAGGTTTCTTTTAACCATTTGATTCATTTTATCTTTATTTATATGTCCTAATCTTAAGAGTCATAAATATGAATCATCCATACATGCAAAAGCATCAAAAGAGGTATCAGAATAACAAGAAAAATATGAACTTTCATTAATATTCAATTGGTACAAATTATCAACTTTAGTCCCATACACTAATGCTCTACTTCCCAATTGTGACCCGACCAGACCTGAACCTTATTTCATAACCCTGGTCGTCTAGCCTAGGGACAAAAATCAAGTTGTGCCTAATATTGGGCGCATACAAAGTATCAGTCAATAGCAGATTTGTTCCTCCTGGTAAACACAGCTTGAAAGTACCGACACCAGGTACACCACAGTAGGTGTCATTCGCCATATAAATCCGCTGGTTACCAGTTGCGATCTCCTTCAACTCCGTGAATCCGTCCTTAGTCCTCGAGACATGTCAAGTGCAGGCTGAGTTGACCCACCAATTTCTCAAATCATGGTCGGCTACTAAAGATTTTAGGACTACACAGATCAAGTCCTTTCTTTTATTTTAATTATTTCGAGAATGGTTGTTATTCTGGTTCCTATTGAGGTGCATGGGAAGATTCAACATAGTTATCCCTTGTGCAGAATGGTTTAATGCAATTACAACAAGCTCCCAAGATGGAGGGAGACTGTTAAGGACAATGAAAACTTGCATGCGATCAGAGACTAGATCCCCAGCCGCAGCAAGGTCCTTTGCGAGCACTGTCATTTTTTGACATGCTCGATTACTGAGTTTGATTCTTTCATTTTGCAAGAATTATAATTTTCTAATAAAAATTGCACATGGGTCTCAGAAGTGGTCCCATACTTTTCAGATAGGGCACCCATCATACTTTGAGCTATGGTGTGATCCTCAAAGACTCTAATTAAATCGTCTTCCATAAAACTCAACATAGTAGTCCTAGCCACTTTGTCATCTTCTAACCATTTTTCAAGTCCCCTTCTGGCTTGACCATTGACAGTAGGCTCTAAAATTGGTGGTTCTGCATCTAGAACATAGTCCACCCTATCTTGGAAGAGAATCTATCCGATTTTTCTTTTCTACATAGAAAAATTGGTTCCATTGAGTTTTTCAAGTTTTGATAGTTCAGACATGACTAGCCTAGATGCCATTTTAAATTATAGATAATACCTAAAGGTTCAAAAAAAATTAATTGTGTTTAAGAACAGGGTTGCCTACTAGTCAAATCAATACATTGCCTACTTTGTATGGGCAGTGACTTCAATGAAGAATTCTCTCAAAAGGTTTATGTTCACACTGCTGTGACGCAAGAAAATCAAAAGGCAATGCAACAATCTACTTTATGTAATTCTTGCACAAGACTAATTTTCATAAATATATGAATATGTTGTAGCACAAGAGAGAGAGTCTACAATGATATTTGATATTTTCAACAAAAAAAAATATGGCATAACATAATCACAAAAAATGAATTCACAAAATCAAGATTATGAAATTTTTATTTTATTTTACTTAAAGAGACCAAAGCATATGATAATTATGCAAGGCAATGACAATTAGTATACAAATAGAATATATATAAATATCTCTATATCATAAACTAAGAAAATGCAGGCAATTGATATGAAGACCTTTACTCAAATAGTTATTGTGTGCATAACAATTTTAAATAATCCAAGAAAAATATGCACCAATTTTCAGCAATAGTTATGTCTCTGTCTCTCTCTAAAATTACAGTAGCAGCTCTATATCTCTCTCTGTCTCTAAAATTTCAACATCTTTCTCTCGCTAAAATTACAGTAGCAATTTTTTTTTATTATTATGATCGTCAAATTTAGAGAGAGAATTACCACTTCGCTTTGGCCGAGTGGTTAAGGTGTTTTCCTGCGAATTGCATGAGGTTTCTAGGGAAAATACTTGAGCGAACTCTTTTGGGCAAAAGTTAAAAGAACAGAAAAGAGAAGCCTTGAAATTCACTGAAATGCAGTGAGTTTCATTGTGATATTCAATGAAAAAGAAAAACGTTCAAAAGATGAACTTTGGTTGTGAGATGGAGGGCTTAGCAAAAAATACACTGAACTTCTGCGTGGGTAAAGATTAATTCACTGCAAGAGGTAGGTAGCTGGCTCGACCAAAGGGAGAGGAAGCACTACATACAGAGTTTGTAACAGCAACAGGGACAGTTATCTATCTATCTATCCAGATATATACGAGATCTCTGACCTATCAGTCACCGACTTGATGCGTACGGGAACAATGAATCAATAAGATACGATGGATATATATAGAGGGAGGTTGTTAAATTAACAATAACTTTATCATCCAATATGTATGAGCTTCAAGATAGGGGTAGTAAAGTACCGTGCACCAAAAATCGTCAACAATGGAAAAAATTACAACTCAGGCAATTGTGAATCACAGCTCAGGCTGCAGTAGAGAGCCAAAATTGAGAACAGAAAATTTACAGCAGCCTCACTCCGATACCAATGTTGGACTTTTATTGGGAAGAGATGAAAAACACCAAACTCCCAGGATTAATGGAAGTGGTCGCAGAGATCAGGCGATGTAGATTAATCTTATCTTTTGAGTTCTCAGTTGTTCTGGTAAAGCCTAATCTCTGTGACCCCTAGTCTCACGAGACCGCCATTAACCCTGGGAGCTCGGTGTTTTTCATCTCTTCCCATCAAAATTCCAGTAACCCTTCGTTTCCTGGAGTAAACCTCTAGGATGAAGAAATCCCGAAAGTAAGTGCCTCAACCATGTTTTATCAAAGAAGCTGGCCATAATCGGATGGGGTGAAAGAAAAGAGGCCTTACTGGTTCTATGACTCCTGACCTTGTTAGTATTTGGATCACGAGGCAGTAAGATCCAAAATAATGGCAAAACCTTTCGTTGGGTCTTGGCCCAATTGAAGAAACCCAGGGAAATTTTGGGGTGATTTAGGGTTTTCTTGAGAATTTGGGCCACAACGTGATGGGTGAGTGTGTTTAGCAGAGAGGTCGATCAGGCTAAAGATAGAGACCCAAGAATGTCTCTCGGACAAAATGGAGGAGATTGTGCTGATAAAGTTTTCGCAGTGGACTTGCTCCTCCGTTTGATGGAGGTTAAGGCGCAGGACGGGGTCGAAAAATAAGGCGAGCTATGAAGTGAGAGGAAGCGTTTGAAGATTGTAGGGAACATGGTTTATTCCTACTCCCTAATATGGTTAACCGAAAAGATTTTTTTTAATTCGAAATTTTGGTAGAATTGCCATATGGATGTTCTCCAAAAAGGCAAAATTTTAATTTTTGAATTTTAGATCTTACCCTCTAGATAATCAAATATGGCAAAAAGTTTCACATTAAACCACCCTAAAAAGGGAAAAGGAAAGAATAATTTCGGCGGAGTAGGACAAAATATATATATGTCGTTTAGCATCATTAAATTTGGACGCAGATCTCTAAAAAACTTATTCACCCAAGTCTCGTACTCATGTCATAACTTTTCTAGAGATCTGTGTCAAATTTTAATGGTGATCATTTGGGGCATAACTTTTTTAGAGATCTGTGTCAAAATTTAATGGTGATTATTTGAGGTCCTACTCACATGGGTGTAGAAGGATCTCATAGTGTC